ATGCGCTACTTGAAAGGCACTTTGGACTATGCTCTGTAGCTTTTTCTTCATTCTTCACTCTCTTTACAGATGTATACTGATGCTGATTAGGCAAGCTGTTTGGATACTTGACGCTCCATCTCCGGCTATTGTTTATTTCTCAGTAATTCTCTCATTTCTTGGTCATCTAAGAAACAACCAACTGTTGCTCATTCTAGTGTAGAGGCTAAGTACCGAGCTATTGCTAATGCAGTTGCTGAGGTCCTTTGGGTACGACAATTACTCTCTAAACTATTTGTGCTCTCTCTTCTTGCTCCTATGGTCTACTGTGACAATCTTAGTGCTATTTATTCATCTAACAATCCTATTCAACATCAGCGTACCAAACATGTGGAGATAGACATTCATTTTGTGCGAGAAAATGCTGCATGTGGTGTGATTGTGATTCAATATGTTCCCTCTTTCTATCAATGAGCTAATGTTTTCACTAAAGCTCTTTCTACACCACAATTTAAGTCTCAACGGAACAATTTGTGTGTGCTTTGCAATCCTGCACAAATTGCGGGGGGATGTTAATGTATATGTATATATTTTATGAGGGTAGGTTAGACTTTTCACATAATATATCCCTTGTATCTATATACAAGGATACATAATGGAATGGGAAAAAAACATTATTTTGGCTTTACCATCGACAATGGAGTATTTCTCAAGCCATCAACCTAACTGTAAAGCAAAATGTAGTTAGAAAAATCAAGGGATTTGTAACATATTTTTATTGATGCGGGAATGATGTTAGTATAGAAAATCAATTGATCTCCCTCATCGCTTAATTCATCGTATCTGCATAATGTATGACTTGAATATAAATTTTTTTATTTTTAATAAAAGAGATTATTGTTGAAATATCCATTATCATTTGTAGAAAAATAAAATAAAATAAAGAAAAGGAAAAGAATGTTTATCAATTTTATATTTAAAAATTTAGGCAAAAATACCTTAAAATTAAGTTATTTTAATAGATAAATATTGAAAAGAACTAAAATGTCATAAATTTTTAAGTAAAAATGAGACTATTTTATTTTATTTTTGTAATATTTTATTAAAATATTATAATTATAATTTTTTTTTTATTTTTTTTATTTTTTTTGATAGATTTAGTCAATAAACATTAATTTCTACAGAAAATCACAAAACAAAGATAATGCACTGAGCTACAAAGTAAGGAAATGGATCTTATCATTAGAATTTTGTATTATAAAACTTTATAAGAAAAAGAAGAAGAAGAAATAAGAACAAGAAAAAGCGTGCATTAAAGTGAATCACGTTGGAATTCCAGAGATCATCAACTGCCAAGAATCCACCTACTACTCTATTATGACGTTTGGAAATGTAAAATATAAGGCACCAGACATATTCCCTTTAGCACTGTTCTTTCAATGCTCTCACTCAATTGGTTATATCGCATGCAATTTATAATTTCTTTTTTAATGTTGAAAAGTGAGTTTTAAAACGAAGAGTGCCAAAGTAATCATTCGCTTCTTAGAAGACAAGCTGAGTCCAAATTCTGCAATGTACAAAAAGAATTCAAAAGATTCTGCACAAAAAATGCATAAAAGTCCTACACACTAGAAAAAAAAAAAAAAAAGCAGATAAATGTGTTGGTGGTCTATAACCAAAGTTTAGAGATTAATCAAGGTAGAATGGTTTCTGAACTTCCAACTTATAAATGGGTTGGTGGGTTTTATAACCAAAGTTTAGAGATTGAATTATTAAGAGGACTCCAAATTAAACGTATACATGAAAAGCTTATTGGTAAAAGGAAATGCATTTATAGTTGCCAACTAATGAATTATGGGCAGCATGATTTGTATAATTCAATTTTTGCAACTCAAAGTTTGGGGAAACCCCCATGGCTTTGAAAGGACAAAGCCTCCTTAATTTAAAGGGTCAATAAACTATTTTACCCTCGACTAAACTATTGGTGATGAATTGGAACTTATATAGACATTCCTCATCCCTCTATGAGCACTAATATAAATAAATGGTTCATTCCTTCTTTTATGTATCTTTTCTCTTTACTGGGGTAGATTTAACTTGATTTTTAATTATTTCTTTTTATTATTAAAAAAAGTATGTAAGTTTGAATCCTTTTATTATTATTAAGTGTAGTCAATTTCAATTGTCACACTTATTATTTTAGAGTAAAGGTTTTTCAAATACTTATGACCAATGGTGACCCTAATAAAGTTAGTTGAATTAAAAGTTTAAATACTTATCTTATAAAAGAGAAAAGAAAACAGAAAATCCCACTAATTCATTAAAAAAAAAAAGCAAAGGAAATATTTAAAGGAGGATTCCTTTCATTTCCTTGTTTTTTTCCTATTTTATATACAGCAATGGAGTTGCACGCAAATGATTTTGTCTGCACTCAAGACTTTGTTCCTTGCCCATGATTGAAATTGTGAGGCCAGGACAAAACACCTGTCAACACAAAGGCAGATCAATCATTTTCTTCAGCCCACGGACTAAGTGGTAGGTAGATTCATGGATTACTCCCACGAACTCGCAATTATGTGCTTAGCATAGAGCAGTACTTTCCCTAAATTGTTCCCATTCTATACTAATTTGACAACAAAACCAACCACTAATGTTAATAATTTATGACACGTATTAATATTTTTTTAGTATATTTGATGATGGTATAATCTTTTTCCTTTTAGAATTTCTTTCTTTTCATTTTAAAATTTTAACATGATATTTCTAAACAAAAAAATCTTTAAATTTTCTTATCAATTGAAATACCTCCTTGAAGGCTATGGCATGAATTAATGATCCTTTATATCGAACCCAAATGAATCTTCTTGGATGAGCATGCTTTGAGAGGTTTGGAATTATGATGTGATAGATGTTCTTAGCCCTTGGGAGTTTGATGACTATTTGGTTTGTTGAAGTGGTTTGGGTTTCTAAGGCAAAGATAGAGATTAGGTCACTATTGGTATCTTTGGAACTTGGGAGACATTCTGGCAGGATGGAATAGACTTTTGATCCAACTTTTGCTAAAGTTTCAATCCCTGGATTCAAAGTGGTTCATAGCTACCTTCTATAATTATGACAATTGCAAATTCCAGTTTAGTATAGATTTTGAAATGTGCTTTGAAAGGAGCTTAGCACAACATCAATCATAATCACGAAATAAAGTTTGAAACGTTAAGATGTATTGATATGGTAGGGAAATCTCAGGTTCAAATTCTTAAAATTTAAGTCAAACAAAGTTTGATTTTGAAGTGTTAAAATCTAATAAATTTGAGATTAAAATTATTCCCTTTCCTATCGCAGTAGAGATATGAGTTCAAAGAGTATGATACCCCATACACGGAAAAGATTGATGAATTTTTCACTGTAAACACACTAGCTTTCCAGCCTCACAGAACTGAAGGACCATTGTTGATGGTGGTAGAGTAGTTGCCAGATAAAGTACTCTTCGTAACCATGTATTTGGAAGCATCAGAGAAATTAAAGTCCATCCAGAGATATATATTGTTGCAGAGGCTGTAACCAGGCAGGCTGCATGCATGTTGCTTTAGCATTTGTAATAATTTGGAGGGCCCCCACAGCCACAGCAAAACATGAATGGATCCTCAAAACCTACAAATTAAAGTTCTTTCTTTAAAAATATTGCAACCAATAATCTAGGGAGACAAGAAAAGCTTGAAAGTAGAAACTCATGATCATCTAACATTTCAGAAGATTTGAGAGCTTTAAACAGTAGCATCTTTCAGAGCTTTGATAACTAGTTTGATTAATTCCTGCAAGATAAGAGATTTGTTGAAATGCTGCAATGGTTCAGCTTGAGGCATAATTGCATACAAGGCCATTAAGAGATCATTCTTTTCAATGTCAATCATGTGGACTGGGATAGCAGAGCTCCTCTTCAGCAATAAAATTTCCTGAAGATGCAAAAAGTTGATAATTTAAACATCTTTTGCCCCCATTATCATACCTTCCCTAAATTGCATCAATGGAGTTGATATTAACTTACACATCTATAGATCACCTGCAAGATTCGAGACATGAATGAATTGAAAAACTTGAACAATATTTAGGAAAAAGGGCATACAAACAAGTGCTCGCCCCAGATACTGCAAAATTCAATAGTGAGGTTTGGCTCCAGTGAGCTGACTATTGACTCAAATAACTCAAGTTCAAGTATCCAACACTTAAGCACCAAAGAATGAAAGGTGAGAACTTTTGAATAACTTGTATATATGAAGTAGGAAAGTGACCCGGATCGATCAGTTTGTTCAAATATCAATTGTGTACATACCCTGTACAGTTCATTTTAGAAGTCTTCGTCTAATCATCCCCAACCAAATCCTTGTAGCCTGAAAACCAAGTTTTTGGCTTGTATTGACGAATTGGGATGGCATACATGACATGAAATTAACTTGAAAATTTATACTTTTTTTGGATGCCGGTGCTAGGGATCATGTACCGAATATGTTTGACTCCATTTGAGAAATTTGGCCCCAGCAATCATTCCAGGCATGGAGTCAAGCTTTCACGGTTTGACCTGCTTTGCAGAGTGCAGGACGCTTCGGCTTGAGGATCCAATATCTTCTTTGGGCTTTGACCCATAACGGGAATCATAAAAAGTGGACTGTTGAAGTCAACAAATGGGCTGATTTAAAGTGGGCCGTGATGTTAATAAAGAGAAGAAAAACAATTTAAAAATTGCGGTGAGCGTGGATCGAACACGCGACCTTCAGATCTTCAGTCTGACGCTCTCCCAACTGAGCTATCCCCGCTAGCCGGAGGTACTGTGTTTATTAAAATTAATAATTTAAATAATTCATATGAATAACCTCTACTTCAGAGTAAGCAGTGGCTATCCAGTGGAACCGTTTTCTTTTAATAATTTAATAATAATAATGATAAATAAAACCAAAATCTGAAACTAATAATATAACATAATTTACATTATTTAAAATATTAAAAAGTAAATCTTATATTATTTGATAATTGACTTTTCTTGTTTTTTAAAACTTATAATATTATATCGATCAACTAATTTAACAACAATAGTTCCAAATTTTCATCTTCCCTATCATCACTCATTCAATAAATACAACTACACTCGTATTTTGTAAGGAAGAGTGAAAGCCATCCATTCATGCTAGAACAGAATACAGTTTCTCTCCCAACAAATCATAGTAAACAAGGTTGCATAGCAATTTTCATGAAGACATCATAGATAGCCAACTCTATTCTTTCTTCCGCCCAAACAATGAGGGCCTTGTAATCGAGACGAACTTCTAGTTCAGCATAATACAACTATACTGGCCTCCTGATAGGGAGAGCTTCTCTGCTTTTGTGACCACATCTGAAGGAAAAGGGCAGAAGCTTCGAGATGGACCATAAAAATGAGGGAATCGGTTGTTTCCATCAGTGAATTTGTTGTTTCCATCTGCCAGTTCATATATCAATCCATCACCAAGCTGCAAAGAAGCAAACGTAGAAAATGAGCCTTGTATGTAATATAAAGTAGTAAATCACTAATAAGGTTACAGTTCATAGAAAGACTACAATTTAGTACTTGCACAATCTTATGCAATTCATTGTCCATTGCAACACCAAAGCAGAAGGCTAGTCTTAAGCAAGAACACATTTTGTATTGATTCTCAAGCCATAAATTAACCAATAACGGAGTCATCTATGGATTAAATCTCCTATCCTAACTAGCCATCTTAATCTACCTTTGGCCTCAGCCCCTCCTCTTCTTCCTTGTTGAGTATGTCTTCCAGTCTAATTAGGTCCAATGCAATAGCAAAAGATATATAGCTATTAATAATGGATGAAAGAAATTTCTTCACCCTCCTAATCGGTTTTTGAAGCATCAGTGGCATCAGAAGTCAAGAGTTTAAGCTGACTTTATGTTTCACAAACATCTCATTCAACTTCTCTTCGTTTCTTTTATTCTCATTTGCTCTTTGTCATCTATTGTGTTTCTTAAGCCCAAGTCATACTAGAACAACTTAAAGCTCAGATTTTTATAAGAAAGAGGTTGTTGTGGCATATCATTGATTCGGTACATCTAGCGTAAGAGCACGAATGACACATTCATCATCGGGTTAAATGCATCGCAATGGAATTCAATGGAAAAAGAATTGAATAAACCTCAGTACTCATCGTTCGTTAACTAAAACCACACAGCATTGCATTTATTATTTCTAAAAGCTGACAACCATCACACCCACATGTAATACACATTGCATACATTACTTTCAAGTACCCATGAATTGCAGATTCCTTTCGAGAGTCTTTCAGTGCAATGGGTATGTCATGTCAGATATTTCCACTTAGCATCCCCACCCAACAAGAAAATGACACATTTACACATTTCTACACAGGTTAGCTTAAAACTTCTAATGTGACCTGAAAATGGCACCGAACCTCTCTGAGGAGCCTTTGATAGGTCAACTTTCTGTTGGTTGGGATAACATAACACCATTACACAGGAAGAATTTTTTTTGTTAAAAGAACACTAAATAAAGAGCAAGACAATAAGGATTCACTGACACAAGGTGGAGACTTTACCTTCTTAGCATCAATTTGAAGAAGGTACAATTCCTCCTTCACATTTGCGAAAAAATTCTGCAACACTGGCCTCACCTACAGAATCATTACACAAAATACACTCCTTATATTCAGTTGCAGACGCTAAGGAGCAGAGAAAAGCATAATTAAACAAAAAAAAAAGAAGCAGTTGCATTTGGTTATGAGCAGATATCAAATAGAAACAGTAGAAAGCAGAGAAAGACCTGATCGAGCTTGCAGAGATGGAAGCAACCGGTGGACTTATCAATCTCTCTGCCCAAAGTCGATCCCTTTGTCTGCAACTCTTCCCATTCCGCGGCTGTGCTAATCCTGTAAACAAACTCTTCCCCTTCACTCACTCCCTCCTTCGCAGCCATTTTCGATTCTGTAACCAACCGCCGCCAGCACCAGAACCCTAATATAGGTGTGTTTGGAAACACCTTCCTGCAAACATCTAATGATTTTGGGCAAAAACCAACATTTAACCCCTTACCTTACAAAGTTGATAGGTTTTAGCCCCTCACCTTATAATATAACAGTTTTAACCCTTTATCTTACAAAATTGGTAAGTTTTAACCCCTCGCCTTACAAAATTGATAGGTTTTAACCATTTACCTTATATTATATTATGATATTTTTAGTCCATCACCGATATGAATTAAAGAAAATAACCCTCATCTAACATCAAGTTATAATGTTTTATTAATTGACTGTTAACATTCCGTTATAAAAAATATAAAATTTAAATTCAATTTTATTTGTTAATTTCATTAATGGAATGTTAACAGATACTAACACTTAACTAACAGAACTAATAGTCAGTTAATAAAACTGACAGTCAGTTAACAGAACTAATAGAATATTAAAATCCGATGTTAAATAGGGGCTATTTTTTTCTATTTGTGCAGATAAGGGGTTAAAAGTGTCATAATATAAGGTAAGAGTTAAAACCTACCAATTTTGTAAGATGAAAGGTTAAAACTTACCAATTTTATAAGATAAAGAGCTAAAAGTATCATATTATAAGATTATGAGTTAAAACCTACTAATTTTATAAAGAGAGGCGCTAAATATTAGTTTTAGCCAAGATTTTGCAAGTATTTTGTTACTTATACATGTTTTATATAATTATAATAAATAAAGTGTAAAATAGATATCTTTATCATTTATTTTGGTTGACATAAACTTTTCTTCAATAGATTTCTCTTTTGGAGAAAAGAGTTTCCTATAATTTTTTTTATATTAGATTTATTTAATAATTTTTATCAAAAATAGTAAAATTAATAATTTAATAAAAATTTAATAAAACTTTATTATAAAATTGTTAGCAACTTTTTATATAGTAAATTACCTAATTACTTTCAATAAAAATTTCTTTTGACAAAGTTGTCACTAACCACACAACTTATAGTGTTGTATATTTGTTGGAATATGAATTAGTATGTATTAAAGGAGTATACCATAAAATAAAAAAGGTATCTTCAGGGGTGTATGCAAAGGGGATCTTAAAAAAGGTGGAAGAAAACTTATAAAATTAATTAAGGAAAATGAAAAATGCGAAGTTTTAGCATTAATAATGCATTGCAGAAGATAAGCCTATTGGAATGAATCGTTTGGGCTGCCATTAGACTTCATTTGGCTTCTAACATAATTTTTTGGCCACACAATGTTATCTGTCTCATCATTAGTGTTCGCTCGGGTAATTTTCTTACCTGCATTCAAATTTCAGAAAACTCTCTCATTGGATATTTAAAAACCTTGTGAAGGATCAGCATTATATACTACAAATGTACCTTCACTTTTCAACATGCAATTCTCAGGTGAGCATGGAGAGATTTCTGAGAGGTGTCAAAAGATGATTGTAAGACGATCTAACTGACTTGTTAGCTGCTGCATAACCTTATTTGCAATGTCAGCAATATTAGCACCGAGCAGACTATCCCTGCAAACCTTATTCCTATGGAATTGTCAAAGGTGCTGCCGCGCCTAACTTGTTGAAGCTTAAGATACTATTTATCAATCATGTACTATCTTTTGGTAAATAAAAAATAAAGATGATTACGGAGATGATCATGATGCTGTCCATCTTATCATAATGTAAAGGTGTTGTTGTTTACTTAGCTGTCTTCTTTTATTGCAGCACCAACATGTTCTCTCCAACTCTATTTCGGCTTGGTTTATTCTTTTGGTGCCATTGGATCACGAAGCGCTCTGGGGTTTCTCAAAGTTTTTCAGGATATCTTTTGGGACCATTTCATGGTTGATCTTCAGAATCCCAATAATGCATAAATTAAACTTCTCATATAAGCTACTCCTAACTAATATACTTTTACTTTTATCTAAAATTTGAAGTCACATCTTTTGAAAAAAAGGAAAAGAAAAAAAGTTAAATATTTAAATATCTTTGCTAAATAATATTTATTAAGCAATGTAAGAGTTGTTTTGTAAATTAAATTTAATATTTAAATCTTAAAATTAATATTTAAAAAATTAATTTTTTTAAATATAG